GAGTCGATTTAAAATGGTCGTTTCATTCGTATTTTTGGGGTTTTCCTCATGTTTCAGGACAATTTATGCAAATTATACGCTGTGCAAGGCTAAACTACCAGACAAACTATAACTATTACTATAACTAAAACTGAAAGTAAAACTTCAGTAACTTTGATAACAAACTAAATACAAAAAACAAAAAAAAATACAAATTCAGCAAACGGCAATTGCAAAACTGTGGAAAGTGCAATCGAATAAATTTGTTTTGCTGACACACCAAAAGGTCAGCTAAGAAGGAAAATGTGCATTAAAAATTGCGCCAACATTCAGTACGGGGGCAGCAGCAGCAACAATCGCAACAACGGCAACGGCAACGACAACAACAACCACAACGATAACAACGAAAACAACGAGAATAAAACGCCAGAAGACAACGTCAGCCAGTTCGAGTTTCAATTGCAATTTCCACGCAAATCCGCTAAGGGCGCCAGGCTATCCAGCTTTAAAATATTGATGTGCTGTTGCTATTTTATCATCATTGTCATGTTGATCTAAGAAGGGAATAAACCAACCGATTGCTTAAAACACAACAAATTCTATTCAAATCAAATAACAAACAATAATTTAACATAAAATACACTTAAACAACATGCAAAGCGCAGCAGGTAATTTTTGTTGCCTACTTTTGGGGGTGTAAAGGGCGGAATTATCACAAATCTTGGTATACACAAAGTTTGAATCAATACAAGTGCTCCGATTCCAGCTAAATTGCCTATAAATAATGCACATGTTTTAAGTTGAAGAATATGATTTCAAAACGTTATTATTAGGTCGGCCATATAATTATATTGCAAGCTAAAAGGCTTAAAGTCCAGCAATTTTTTAAATTAGCCGTTTGGTATACAAATTTCTTGTATACGATTGCTGTAAACTATAACTAGTTAATTGTCTTATGTGTATAAATAAATAGGGGCAGGACATAAAGCATATGGTATTTATATCTATTTATCAATCGATCTCTCTGTCTGTATATCTAGACATCTGTTTGTCTATGCGTCTGCTTACATGCTAACTTCGTATATGGATACATTAGCTCTGCTGAAAATGAAAAAATATAGATTGACAGCCATATTTAGGCATTAAATCACTTAATTCTTATCAATTCAGACTGCAAGCAAAAAATAAAATATAACTATACAATTGTCTTCTTTTGTCACCATTTATATTTTCAATAATTGTATTAAAATCAGTAAAATATAATATGTGTTGGCTTTATAGGCCTGCAATTATATTTAGTGTTTATATAGAAATTAGTGTTAAATTGATTTATGCCGCAATATGCTAATACCAACAACAACAGGCAAAATACAGAAAGAAAATACAACACGAATTACGCATACGTCACGATTGTATGTGTTTGTTTGTTTGCTCGCTTATTACGCATACGACGCGTGGCATAGTTTAATGAAAATTGATTTTACAGTGTCACAAACAAAGTACAAAGCACTCAAGCAAACTCACAAACACACACACACACACACACACATACATACACACATGATCGCACCCACACACACAACACCTATGTATACATATGTGGTGTAATTCATTGTTGTTGTCGCCGTTTTCATGGCTGCTTTTCAATTCAACACTGCTGACCCACATTTTCACATGTTGTTGTTGTTGCTGTTGCTGTTCCTTTCATTATGGTTGTGTGGGCGGAATATTTTTTTGTCCGGCATTTCTGAAAAATTATGACACTTGGCCATAAATTTTGTTGCGCTCATACATTGTACATTTTTACCGGGAAATTAATTAATCCAGCAGGCCGCACGTTTTTAATTTTCAATGCATGAATACTTTATTTTATTTACACCATGTGCCTGCATTTTAAAAAGCCTTAATGTGTGTGACAGTAGAAATCATCCGCGAACTTCTTGTAGAAACCAAAAAAACAAATATAGTTTTATAAATATTTTAAAGATATATTAAGCTTGCATAAACGAATATCTCATATATCTGCTTTATTTATTATTTTTAAAACTTAAACCACAATTACTTAATAAATTCTATGGCTATTAAAGCAATATGCAAATGGTTTTCAAATTTTTTCTTGAAATGGTCAAAATTAAAATCTGGCTGGAAGCGTATACACAAATGTCACTGGAGTATTTTACGATTCTATAACATTTATACATTAATTCAATTCTTGAAATTCTTAATACTTATTCTGGAGTCACATGTTCAAACAGCGAATTCAATTATGCAGAGTGACAAGGAGATTTTTGGTAGCTGAGTTCGATGGCAAATGGAAATATTTGCGATGCCTTTTTTATGAGTGCCATAATGCAATGGGTTCATAGCTTTTGTGTTTATTGTGCTTTTGTGTGTGTATGTGAATGTGTGTATGTGTGTGGGTTTGTGGATAGCTCTCGTAAATACAGACGGCTTCTCCATTGATATCCACGTAAATTTACTTTTATATTATCGAATTTTATAGCTGCCGTAAATTTGTCTTTTTTTAAGATATAAAATGTTTTTTTTTTTTTTTAGTTTAAGTAGCATGCACATGCTTAATCTACATTTAAAATTTATTTGTATATTTATATGGCGTGCAGATGGGTTCATTTACATATGTAAATCCTATTAAAGTCCTCACGAAATGCCACATCACCAAATGCGATGCACAGTAAATGTATTAAATATGTGAAAACGTGCACTAAAAACCAAAAAAAAAAAAATGTCAAGAGTCGACAGTGGTACAAGCACCAAAACAAAAGAAAATAGTTTGAAAAAAAATATATAAACCCATTCAGTATCTATAATCTTGATTAGATTCAAAATCTGAGTCGATAAAGCTATTTACGTCTCTTCTATACACTTCAAATTTGAAATATAGATCGGTATTTTATGCATAAGTATGTGAATTTTATATTCATAAAGTATATTCATAAAGTATCGTAATAAATGTTGTGTTTTTATATTTTTCATTTATGTTTTAATTTTGCAAAATTCGAACCACAGTGGCTACCTATTTGATATTCGAAAACAAAAAATTATCTATGCATACAAAGATATTATTTCAGCTTTGTGTGTATAACTAAGTCCCTTATTATACTCACCATGGCTGAGCGGACACTCAGATAAATGTATTAAATTGTTGTTGTTTGTGTTCTGTTTATTATTACTTGTTGTCGTTGTTGATGTTGTTGTCTGGTAAATCGCTTGTGTTATTGGCGCTCACTCATGCATTTTCAATAAATTATAGGAAATTGTAACTAATTTAGGCCAAGGACATACAATTGTTTTTTGTGGTAAATTAGCTAAAGGCTTTAGCGTGTCTGAGTTAAATATAAACACATATACATACATATGTACTTAATATTAATTTTCACAATTTTTTACTTTCAGCTTCTATCGCAACATATAATTTGAATAGTTAAATCTCAACCCAACTCACAGTTCACAACTGTTTCGGTGTCTATTCAAATATCGTGTATAAATATCGTTGTTTGTGCGTGTTTAGATATCAGATTTAATCGTATTTCAAAAGTATGCTAAATTGCTAAAAGCAAATCTATAGAAATATATGTATAAAAAGCGCATTACCGTGGTGTGAGTGTCTAGTGTAGTGTTTACAAAGTGTAGTTTCAATAACAATCGCACAATGATAATTACCACAATGCTTTTAAGGGAAAAATGTCCAAACTGAAATAAGCAAAACAAGGCTTCAATTGGCGGTTACTTCAAACACAATGCGCTCCTAATGTAAGTACAATGTTTAACTAGCTAATATTAATGATTTCTCTAGTGAATACTAAATATCATGAATTGCTCCAATAAAAAAGTAGCATTTTAAAAATTAGAATTATATACTAGTATATTTGATTATTAGCATATAAATGAGTAAGCCACGCTATTGTTGGAACATTATTCACATGCATATATGGTAAATCAAATATATTTTCAACAATTTATATATAGCTCATCACGTATGCTCCATTGTTTAGATAGAAGTTGTTGGTCACAGTAGAGTTTAAAAGTCTTCCGAATTGCTTTATATATGTATATTGAATATACCTAAAATCTTATTATATCTCGATAAAATATGTCTCAATATTTTGAACTGTCAATGGGTTAAAAGCCTTCCGAATTGCTTTATATATGTATATTGAATATACCCAAAATCTTATTATATCTCGATAAAATATGTCTCAATATTTTGAACTGTCAATGGGTCGTATGTGTAACATTCATCATATTTATGAAACTGTGCGGCGAAAATGTTTACCAAATATCAATATTTAATGCTACACAAATTGTCAAAACGTTGTCATAAATACAGAAAAAAAAGTCCAAGGTGAAGCAAGCAAAAAGTTACCCGCTGAAATCATAGACAGTCAACAGTTCCATCACACATACATGTCTGTATGTGTATGCGTCTGTGTGTCTGTGTGTGTGTGGGTTTATCGTTGTGTGTGTTTGTTTTCTGCTTGCGCCCTTAGTCAATAACACACACAATTTTAAACATGTTGGGTAATTGTTTTATGGCACTCGCAGGGCACACATAAAAACAAAACAAACCAAAGCCATGGTCAGGCACAAGAACAAAGTAAATATAGGCATTATTTTGTAAGATTTACGAGGAAAAGCACAGCTCAAATTATAGCGACATGTTTCAGAACGATAGCAGGACTATTTGGCTTATCAAACATGTCGCAAAGCGGGACAATAAATTATTCAATGAGCCATTACACAAATACGGAGTCCAAGAAGAAGATAATTTGCATGACGAACGACAAGCAAAAGACTCTAAATCTGTATATTAAATAAACGAACAAACTAAAATCTTAATACTTAAATACTCCATAAAAATATACTTCAATTTTAATATCATTTTTTATAATGGAGCACTAATATGCTTTGGTATTTAACCTACAGTTTATATTCTTTAGTCATTTAGATTGTGTTCTAAGTTATTATTAAAATAGTCGACTAGTATAAAGTATATTATATTTTATATATATACATATAATTTTAAATCTATGTAACAAAAACCATACAAAAGAAATGACACACAAATCAAAGACATGTTGACAGTTTTTCTGCTTTCTTTTTTTTCTGACTTCTGTTTTGTGGTAGACTTATCGTGAAAAATGGGGCATATAATTGGCAAGTCTGCATATTTTACGATTCTAATGGCATGTCAGCCTATCGCGCCGTCTGTCAGGTTGAGTGGACTCCAAGGGCAGCCTGTCGCTAACAGGTCTTGATTAAAATCGCTTTACTTTATCGATTAGCTTGCCTTATATTAAATTTCTTCGATGTTGCATATTTAGATAAATTATAGGTTGCATTTTGCATTATGTACTTAGCCCGCTTTCTTCTCGGCAAACCTCGGATCGTAGGGCTGTACCTCGGCCGTGCCCCAAATTGCAAATACAATAGCCGATATAACTAATATGGCAAAGCCCAACCAGAATACCATTCGCCACTCATTCATAGTTGCCTACAATAAATGAGTAGTTTCATTAGTTGGGATGAATATTGCTCAATGTCAGTTGATGTTGTATTAAAATACTTACATTGGGCGTAAGAAGTCCAACAATAGGAGGCGAGAGCATGCCGGCGAGAGAGCCAAGACCATTAGTTATGGCCATGATAGTGCCAGAGTAACTGGGTGCCATGTCTAATGGGGTCAGTTTCTGTCCGCTATAATACGGGCCCATAACAAACATTGATATGGTAAATAGGGTAACAACCAGAGTCTTATTACAGCCAGCATACGAGGCTAGCACCATAAACAATCCCGGAAAAAAGGCACCTAAGTTACAGAATGAATAGCTATAGACTGAAGTGTTCGATATGTGTTTGATTGCACTTACCAATAATTGTAAACAATTTACGTTCGACTGTAATCGTAAGTTTGCCTGAACGTATAATCCAATCAGCCACGTGGCCAAACAACAGAGTGCTAAGAAACATGGCAATAAATGGTAAGGCTGTAACGATACCATTGGACCGAACTGAAAACTGAAGTACATTGGCCATATACTTGGGCAAACAAGAGATCATCACAAAGTAGCCCCAGTCGTGTCCAATCTGACTAACGATCACCGCGAACATTTCCTTACTTAACATAATTTCTTTCCATGGTATTGGCACCTTGTTACCAGACTTTTTTGGTATCTCCTCATCTAGATAGGCCATCTCTTTCGGCTTTATACACAAATGCGAAGAGGGCTCGCTGCTGCATAAGAAAATCTGCAATAGGAAGTAAAAGTCAAATTATATGCAAACTATATGCATATCTGTAATCTGTACTTACGAATATTATAAACCAGATCGCAGTTACAATAGCAAACACATACAGCGTAACCGACCAATGAAAAGCATGGAGCATAAGACCAGAGCCTAAGTTGCTAACGACTGTACCGGCAGTCACGCCACTGTAGCACAAGGTGCCCAATTTACCGCGCTCCTTAGTGGGCACCCACGCCGAGAGGAGTGTAGTCAGAGAGGGAAACAGGAGTCCCTGGGCAGCGCCCATCATAATGCGGACACACATCAAGCCCCATTGTTCGCCATATTCAATGGCTAACGGGCAGAAAATAGTGCATAGAGTCGAGACACCCATGCAGATGGCCAATACCCATTTGGCACCATATTTGTCAGCCACAATGCCACCGGGCATATGTGTAATCAGGTAGCCAATATAAAAGCTACCCAGCACATATCCCTGCATCTGCTCCGACCATTCGTATATGCCCAAATTCTGTGTGTGCGAAAAGAAATTACAAAATATTGATTTTATTTGTAATTTTTGTATGAGAAGGATGTGAAGGAAGCATCTCCGACTTCATTATGGACATATATATAAATGTACTTGATCAGCATCATAAGCCGAGTCTAGAACTTATTGCATCTGATTGTCTGATCTCAGAGCACTCTCGAAGAGAGCATTCTTACCTGTTTATTTTATGAAACTAACTCAATTGGTTGTTCTCGAATTATCATTTTAAAATTTATGAGCAATAACTACAATTAAGTAGTAGCATACATTGATGAGTGTACCAACCTCTCGGCCGCCATCGGCTTCCTCTGGTGGACACACATCCTCCTGTTCAGTGTTTGAATCTGTGCGATTTATGGGTACAACCAGTTCTGTGATAACATGCGAAATTGAGACACGGTGCGTATATGCCCAGACTAGTGCAAAGAAACCTATCAGAGTAGTAACAACGCGCTGCGGCAACAGGCAGCCTGGCATTATGCACATTGTATGCGATTAATAAATATTTCCAACATCAAATCAATATTTATTTACCTTTACTACAGGTTTTACCCCATTCGGGCCTGTTATCTGCAGGCTCCATACAATCAAGATTCTATTAATTTGTTTAAAATTATAATATCAACTAACATGTATGATTTTGAATGAGATAGTACTGTGCATATATATTCTATTTATTTATTTATTTTTTTTTACAACAAATTTTATATATTAAATAAAGATTTAAGTAAATAATAATATGATATGTAAATACCAAAAATATCTGTCAAACATATCAGGTTGCTATGATCCCAAAAAGAAAATACAAATGTAAATCATACAGCCAAAGGTAAAATCGTTTGCTGTAATGCATTTCGTAAAGTATACAAAAAAAAGGCATAACAAATATAAACAATATTTAATCTGCATAATATAGAAATTATACCTGCCTGCTCTGGCACTCAAATCACATATTAAAAGGGAATCCCATGATAGATTTCTCAACGCTGGCCAATTTGCATCATGGAGTAGAATTCAGCAGGCCACTGCAAGAAGATAATTTTTATTTTAGTAATTTCCCAAAGTTCGTGGCAAAATATTTTCAATTTTACATAATACCTGAAATGTTTGCTTGTAATTAAAGTTGTTGCTTATGTGGGAAATGCGACTTGTGATTAGCCGTCCAAACCATTTGCAACTGACGCTTGTCATCATAAATCAGTCGAGTGGAATGCTTACATAATATGCTAGGCTCGTCTCAGGAGCCGCTGCTAAAAGCAAATTGCTGTAAAAGTAAATACAAAATCGTATATCATGTCAGCCGCTGGCACATACAACAAAATATGCAAATGTGAATCAAAGTATGTATGTGTGGTCAGTGTGGGGAATTTTAGTCATTCTTTGGTTGTATACTCTTGCAAAGGGTATTATAATTTTGAGGTAAAGTGTGCAGATATCGCTTGAAAGATATGTTCTTATATAAGGAGTTTTATCGTTCAACAAGAGATTCGGAACAACAATATGTTTTTTTGGTATCGAAACTTTAGCCTTTGGTCACGTTTCGAAACTTTAGCCTTTGGTCACGTTTGATTCAAGTTCGAGTTCTTTATTTGCCTTATTAGAATATTAGATTCTTAATTCAAGACTTCTTTTGACCAATTTCATTAGGACTTCGCTGCTTATTTTTGGACTCAGAATTAATACTTAATTAATAATAATACTCATACTGTAATATGCTACTACAGACCGTTCTCTTTAAGCAAATTCGAAATCATATTAGTGGTATTTTACTAATCGATATCTTGGCAAACAGTCTGAGCCATTTCTAGTACTAGTTCCGGTTCCTTGTTTTTACAAGATGACTATTTGTGGTAGTTGTAGCGCCTCGCGCCGGAAACAACGAGAAATGTGGCAACTCAAAGTCGCTTAGTAGCCATATAGTGTGAGTAGCTTGGCTTAAATAACTTGAAAGAGCTAGCTCATCGAAGAAGTTGGCTAAGCAGAGAGTTGGCTACGCGGATAGGGCCACTTAAATACCTGCAAAAGTTTTGCGCGCTTCCGCCGGAAGTTGCTGCACATGTGCAAGAGCGAGACAGACTGATTGGATGATTGTGCGAGTTGGGTGGGTGCTTTCTATAAAATCTTCTCAAATGCACAGCAAGGCAAGGAAATGCCAAAGGAAATACATTTTTTTTGGGTTGCGGACTCAAAAAAAAAAGGTTACGGGCTGAAAAGAAAATGGCAGCAACAACAACACTAAGCAAGACCTGTTAGCCCTTGCAGCAAATATGTTGCACAAGTGCTCGTCACTCGTTGAGCTGCACAAACAGTAGGCAAAACAGCAACAGCAAAAGCAACAAACACAACAAGGCAAGCTCGTTAAAATTACAAATAGAAGGCAAGTGGCAGAAAAGTGCGCTCAAGGACGCATTTGGCGTCTTAGGGCCCCTGCCACACTGCGGGAGCGCTCGCACGTTTGTCTCGACCAGGTGGGGGGTCTTTTGGGTGTTGTGGGTGGTTGGGTGGCAGCCTCACATACTATACAGGCAAGGCCGAGTCGTGCAATTGCGACGAGCCGGCTGCGACTGCAGCTGCATTTGAACTTATCACGACATCAAAACTTTCGTCTGCCTTGGGTCCCCATTTCAGTGGTGGGCGTGGCATGCGTGTTTGGTCGCGCATTAGCCAGTTGAACAACACAAACACCAATAAACAGAGAAAACAAAAAACCAAACATTTCTGCTTTAGTTGCTTTGTTGTTTGTTGGTTGACTTTTGTATATGAAATTAGCCAGTTTCTCCACTTTCGGATTGCTCAGGGCCACAGCTGACACGTTGAAAACCAGCTCGGTTACAGCTAATTCAACGTTACTCAAACTGTAGATTAGTTAAAATTATCTATGTCCTTGTGATTTTTTGTTTATCGTCGATCACTGATGGTGCTTTCCTCTTAATAAAGTGCATAACTAGAAATTATATTGTCACATTTCATTTGACTCTGAAAATCAGGATAAATAAGATACAAGCTACAGGTTTTAAATATGAATAAATTAATCAAAAGTTGCTACTTAGTAGGAAGACCACACGGAGAACTACAGTTAAAACTCAGTTTTATGCGCCTCTTCGGCGCAATTAGTAAGCAAATTAACAACGCACTATCCTTGATCTACTGCAGTTCGTATTCCGGTCGGTCAGTTTCAGCAACAATTTTCGGTATGGGGGCCATCGACAGTGATTTGTGCTGACAAATTATGCACATTTGTTTTTACATGCTCGTAAAACGAGGCAAGCAGAGCCACAACTGGCAGCATCGGAATCAGCTCCGACTGCAATCGCCGCCAGAAAGCACATAATAAACTTATAATGCGTGGCAGGATGTGTTCTTGTGTGTGTGTGTGTGTGTGGATGTAAGTGTAAGTAAGAGTGTAAAGCAAAAGGCAACAGTGGTTCTGCCTCATTTAGCACCCAATGCAGCCGTTATTTATGAGAGTGCACTTTTATTTAAATTTAATTGATACATATGAATATATTTATTTATTTGTTTTTTTTTGCTTATAGCCCATCAATAATTATGATGATGATGTCAGTTGCTGTCCTCATTGGTATTGCCCATTTGGCTTATTTATTCATTTTTATGACTTGGCAGCTTTACTGCTTTTGCGTTTGGCGTCAACGACAGCAGCCATAAATTGTGATTAATTTGACAAGAATTGGACATTGTGCTTAAAAATGTGATTTGTCTCTTTGATTTTATTAAAATGAAATTTATGGCTTGCTGTGGTCTGATGCTAAAGTATTTTTACTTACTTTTCGGATTAATATTTAAATTTATCATGTATTTTACACTTTGTAGTAGTTATTTAAATTTATTTTAAAAATCTAATTAAAGGATATGTCTCTGACCCCATCCACATGTTCATTAACAGCACCACTAGGCGACTCTAGAGTACGGAGTTTGGAGTCCTTTATTAGTCAATATAGCCGGACATCGTCTGTCTGAATTTATAGACATATATGTTCAGGATTCCCTTAAAGTATTCATGATGAAACTTTGTATATATCCGTATTTTTTGCTGAGAACAGTACATTGATATATTTCAAAGTTCAAGCATAAATTTAGATGTCAGCAGATTTACTCCGGTCTATAAGTGTGTGTAATGCTGGGCGTCCCTAGGAGTAGCATCCCTTCCTGTTTATTTCCATGCCACGCTCTCCGATTAAGTTACAACAGTAGAGGCATTGGACAACATGGACCTTAAAACATTTTCCGATACGTGTTTGACAAGTGCAAGCGAAATAGATTCTAAACTATGGCCAAGCAAATTGGCAGCCTAAAGATAGAAATCCCATTATCAAATCCGGTTTCAGACAGTTGATCAACATGATGTTGATCTAAATAAATAAAGCCTGGGCTCAGACAGTTTGTTTCTGTATAAAATGATTTGATTAATTTAGTTTACAGTATATTTTCACATAGTTAAGCATGTATTCAATAATTTATTTGCACTGTTCTGAAAATAAATTCTAAAATATTTGACAAAAATTGACGTTGGCTAATATTCTCTACTCAGTTACTTAACAAAAAAAAAATGTAATACTTAATGTACTATACCAGTCTCCGCTTACGAGTTTAATGACTTATTTGGTGTCATGTTTAAAGAGTTAACTTTTAGCACACCAACGAGCATTGCCTCTTGTAATTAAAATTATCGGATGGCTCATAAGCAAACACAGGGCTAATAAAGACACGCACTAAGTTTGCAGCATGTTGTTGGGGCTCTTGTTGCTGCTATAACTGTATGTGTGCGTGTGTGTGTTGTGCTGGCATCGCTGATGCGGCAGATATGACATGCATTATGACTATGTAGCAAATATGACCGAATTGCTGTGGTGCCGGGACTGCGAATGACATAATCGAGCGCTGCAGTTTCCGCCCAATGTCAGAGAGAGATGGGCGCTGTGGCAGCTTCCAGTTGCTTCCTGTTATGAGATGACGATACGATAAGCATACACATGCCTATATATAATATACAAATGTACCTAAATATGTGTGTCTACTTTCGTATTTTCCTTTTCTCAGCTCAACTACGCGCTGAAAAGTTCTTAATTAGGCAACCGACCTTGTGGGCAAGTAGCTAAAATATACGTGAAAAAAAGTATTTTTGTTGTCGCAGTTAATTGCATTTGAACAGCAAATGCGGGTTGCCGCTGTTAATGTAAAAATGACGATAATGCTGATTTGATTTTGCTCATTACATTTTATGTATGGAGCCAACAAGAGCTAAAGTTCAGAAAAATATAATTTATCATTTTTGTTTTATTTATGAAAGTTACCAAAAGTACTTAGGAATTGGGAAAAATACTATAAATGTATTTATTTTTTTTGCAAACTTATCAGCTCTTTCTCGACATTTTCCAGTGCAGATTTTAAATTACATTTTTCCTTTTGCTCATGGCTTATGATTTTCTTAGCTCAACAACAGGTTTCATGACTTGTAAGCAGATGCTGCCACAATATTTTCCAGTTGCCCTTAAATATATTTTTCGTTATATATTTTTTGAATTTATGAGAGATATCATCTTACCAAGTTCACTGTATATTGAGCACAAATCGCACGATTTTTGCTTTATGCTTTGGATTG